CCTCTAAAATGTGTGTGTTTGGTGCTCTGCCACTGAAATCTCTCCCATTTTGCAGGCCAATCATGCCCTCAGGTGTGTGTGTGTGCGTGCGTGCGTGCGTGCGTTTCTCCAGCACTGGTGATTTATAATGATGTGTAGTCCTCTAAGATTTCAGCCTACAGAAGTGTGTAATGGGTCTTAAACTGGCTGACACCCGATCGCCACGGATCATCTGCCGCCTGTCAGGCATTCACCTCCACCTCAAGACACTCTCTCATGGCCTTTATCTTCATTCTCTCATAAGCTTTTCAAACGCAAACATTTTCTTTCTCACGCTTGCTCTGCTATTGTAGCTTTACATTGCCCTCACACGAACACGCTTATGACACACACACCCAGAGCCACCGTAGTTGCTGAAACACAACTACATCTTATGTCATCTAAAGTTAAAGATCAGTTTTCAGTGTGGATGCTTCTTCAAATCTGAACGGCAAAGGAAAAAACATTTTTTGCTTCCTTGAAGTTTTGAGAAACAGGACAGCAAAATAACATTTTTGCACTTTGAAACATTCACTAACAGCCTCGGTGGCTGAAAAATATTCCTAAACTGCAAAAAACAGAAGATCCTCTGAATCTGGCTCCAAAAGTAATCAGTGCTCATAGACTCGCCATGTTAAAATGACCAACAGAAATAAACATGTTTACAGCCCGTTTGTGCCTTTGGAGCACTAACACGGTGAAGAGGCTCATTCTGGAGTATTTGTAATGGAATTATCTGACAAATAATAAGGTCTGCTGTGCGGTGCAGCCCACCCAAGAAATCTGTTTTCAGTTGTAGCAAGTTACACTACAATTATGGAAAACTGCTAGTCTGTTACTCAGTGTACTAATTAGAGTTAGCGGTTAACATGGCAGTAGCCAAAAACCTAACACTGAAGCAGACTTCGAAACCAATGGTTGACATCCCAGTGACTGCTTGACACAGACAGCGGGTCTATGAAACACGTGATGCTTAACAGTCCTCGGCTGTATATTGTGTATGAAAGACTCAAAGTGTGTTTTTGTCAGCACATGTATGGTACTGCTGACATGGCAAGAAGTTGCCTGCCAAAAGAAGAGTGCTTTTTCACACTCACCAGTGTGGATTGTTTAGACTTGGCAGTGTGAGTAACGCATGTTTCACGCATTCTGAAAGCTGGAATTGCCAGCTTTCAAATTTCTAACTTCCAACTGGATCAAATGCACCATTAAATATCAGTGTGATGGTGTGAACAGTGGTCCACTGGGACTACAGGTGCGGGTGGAGGTGGGTTTGTTAGGTGTGCGTGCTTTGGTCCCAGAAAAGTCATGGGAAAAAACCCCAAAACAAAACAAAAAACCCCCACTTTAACACGTTCTGGTACACAATGGTGACAGTAAAAGTAGAAGATGGACAAGTTTGAGATGCCAGCAAAGTGGAAGTGTTTTAGAGATGCAGTTCAATCAGCTTCTTGAAATCAAGCATATGAAAATCTGTTCACACCACCTCCTCTTTTAAGGATACCAACCAGCTGTGCTGTTCAAGTGATGCACTTAAGTTCCAGAGTATTTACTCTGATTTTGATCTGGTTTATTAAATTGAGTAAATTAGAGCATTTAGGCTTGTTTGACCAGATTACAAATCAACATTTTTCAGCATGTAATTTGGAAGTGATTAAACAAACCTCTAAATGGTCTGAACTGGATGTTTATGTGTCTTTGACAGGTACGTTTTCCACTCACTGCTTACTGGGATCCAACAGATCCAAATGGTAAAGGTCAGTGTTTACCTGACTCGTGGTCCCGTATGCAGTAGTCTGGTGAGTCCTCCAAGTAGACGAGGTCATTCTTGCTGGGACGTTTGAAGTGTGTGTGAGCGGCCGTAAAGCCTGTGCCATACTGATTCACTGCAACCTGCACGGCACCGTTGTACCTTTTCCGTAGATGGTCACCTGTGCGGCGGAAGTCAGCCATGGCCAACCAGCAGGTCCTGATGCTGCATGACCCACTGACACCATGACATTTACACTCCAGTGTCATGAAGCGCTTCACAGCCTGGGGAGCACAACAGTAAACAGATTTAGTAGAACTGGTGAGTGAATGGTACTAATTTAAGATTTTAAAGCCCAAGATACAAATGTAATGATGTTATGTAGATCTAAAAACAGTCAAATTCATTTTCAGCGTTTTATCAATGTGTTTCTATTTCTGAGATTCTTAAAATGTTGGATGAAAATGTAAAAGTTATGTAATTTTAGTGTCTCCGGTAAAACTGAAGGACTTTAAAGTCAGTTATCCATTCAGTGCTTCCTCACCTTCCTGCCAGCTCTGTTGTTGTGCAGGTTCATGAGTGCACGGGCATCCCTCTCCTTCCTCTCCTTGGCATCGACGAAGGCTTGGCTGAAGCGTATGGCATGCTCCACATGGTCACTACAGCCTCCCCAGTTGAAGGAGCCTTTGGCATCCTGTGATGAGCCCTTCTTGGTGGGATCACAGGAGCAAGAATCCAACTCACCTTGGCTGCAGGCTTGGGCCAGTGTGTAAACCACTCCAGCTGAGGAGATAGCGTAGACAAAGGCCACCTCACGGCTACCTTCACAGAGAGAATAATTTTTTTATTATGCAAAAAAAAAAAAAGTTTAATTACTCAGTTTTTACCCAAATACCGGTAAACAGGAGCCAAAAACCTTGTTGATTTCAGCTATTTGTGGGAGTCTCTCATTTGTCAGTTAACACTAGTGCTGGTAAACTAGCTAGTTTAGCAAGGTACAGCTGTAATTCACTGTAATAGCAAATAAGACGCCAATATTGGCTAGTGGAAAAACAGGCTTACTGTAAAATAAAATTTACTGATTGGTGAAAATGAAATTGTCCTTAGTTTCCTTTAATATAATCAAATGCTCAGCACAAACAAGTAAACACCTGTCAAAGATGAGTAATACTGGAAATGCCCTTTATTCTCAATACAATTTGAAGAGTTGAGTTTATTTTAAAAATTTCTCTGCATATCTTTAATTAAATTTCCTTTTTTGCACTGGGCTGTAAATATTTTTACTCTTTAAATCTCGGAATTTTCATATTACAGTCTGTGGGGAATCCTCAGACTGCATTTTTGACACTTCTGCATCAGCTTTATTTTTTATTTTTTACCGCCTAAAACGATTGACATTTACACATCTGCCACAAATGCATTCAGTAACATCATTTATAATTGAGAATTGTTATTTTTCCCCATTGTTGAGAGTGGATCAGTCAGCCGCCTGCTGTATATACGATACGATATACGATACATGATCAATCCACATGCACCAAAATTTCTATGTATTTTCCCAGAAACTGCAGATGGTAGGATAGCAATTAATCCAGACAGGGTCAAAAGACCAGCATTAAAAAAAAAGTTGCAGATATGCTTCTCTCCATTCCTAATAAACCTCACTGATGCCACAGTTACAGTGACAAATCTAAAAACCCTTTAAATGTTTGGCTGCCACTGCTACCTGTTACACCCGTGTCTGTTGCTGTCTGCTATAGGCTTTTATTCAAAGCATGAAAAAAAATACGTCATCTCCAAGATGGATAAACAGCTAACATTTACCAGCAGTGCCCTGATAAGGAGCTCTTATCTCCTTCTGCATGTATCTGATGAAAGATCCGAGCAGGATCAAAGGCTCAGGTGGGGAAAGGGTGTGCGCTGCATCTAACCCCTGCCAAGGACTTGTAACACACATGGTAAATGGCCTGTATTTATATAGCGCTTTACTTAGTCGCTAAGGACCCCAAAGTGCTTTACACTACATCCAGTCATTCACACACTGGTGATGGCAGCTACATTGTAGCCATAGCTGTCCTGGGGCGCACTGACAAAGGCGAGGCTGCCGGACACTGGGGCCACCGGGCCCCCTGACCACCACCAGTAGACAACGGGTGAAGTGTCTTGCCCAAGGACACAACGACCGAGACTGTCCGAGCCGGGGCTCAAACCGGCAACCTTCCAATTAAAAGACGAACTGCCAACTGTTAAGCCACGATCGCCCCACATGAATGCTCTCACAGTGATTCTAACAAAAGAAGGACTTGTGACGTGTTTAGAACTACAACTACTGATCACATCCATAAGCTTAAGTTTCCTAAATGTTAAGAGGTCAACCCTGATGCTTTTACCTCAAAGTCAAAAGAAACACTTTTCACCTGCTGAATTAAATGCAGGATGATCTCAGCATCACAGCTGAGAGGAACACCTGCAGACAGAAATCAGGGCCAAACTAAATATATGAAAGCCTATTTTTACAAGAACAAGCCACTTACAATGTATAATCATTTAGAGCCATCAGTGTGCACTTCAAATAAATATTTAAAAAGAGCCTTCAAGCTCCATCTAAGATAGTACATTTCTGCTACGTAAGAGAAATAAATATAGGAAACAGCATTCAGGTACACAACTGTTAAAATAAAGACAATTTATTTCCCCCCCTATTAAAAAATGTAATTTAAAGAAGCAAACTTGATGTTTTCATCTGATAAATTACATTTTTAAAAAAAGCATTCTTGACATTGTTTCAAGCTCCTTTTCTGCCTGTGTGGGTTAACAACACAATGTTAAATATGTTATCATATTTTATATTATATCATTGATGGCAATGAATTCATTCATTCACTTATAAAAATTCTAATTAATTTAACCTATTAGGGATTCCTCTAAATACGTTAAATGTGTTAAAACAAAGTCAGTAAGACTAATGAAACTCAAGTATCACAGTAGCACTAGAAAAAAAAGAAGAAGCTCCCAGCTCTGCCAAGCACACACAGTGATATCAGTATGTGGGTGTCTGGGTGCAGCAGATAAGTTGAGCGTGCCTAACAAAGTTAATAAGGAGGACGCTGAGAGAACACGACAACAGGGAGGGAGAGCTCCTGTGTAATTGTTTGAAATTAGCCTACTGACACTGACAAGAAGGCGCTTCAGACGGGGCCTCAGTGTGCCATGATAATGCTGTGTGACATGGCCGGGGCCTGGCTGGGAGGTCCAAATACCACATGGCTGATTAGAGGCCCAGACATGAAACTAAGTCGTAGGATCCGCATCACAGGTTAAATCTCGGGGCATGGGAGAGGAACATCAGGTCGCCAGGTCCCGATGATCCTCCACAGGCAATATATTTAAAAAAAAACAAGAAAGAAGATGTTTCAGCTTGCCCTCGTTGGAGGTACAGACTGATTTTAGCTGCTGAGATTTGCCATCACATGACAAATTGGACGGGACGCTTTTGTTCAGACTCCAATCTGTAACAAACAGTGACAGGCAGCTTACTGATACTCACCGCTTAGTTTCCGACGCTGTTCACACTTTATCGCTTTGGAAGAGTCATTTGTAATACTCCCCACACCCACCACTCTCACTAGAAATACATGAAGAGGAAAAACTGCCTTGTGTCCTCTCTGGATTTCTGAAACTCTCAATAAATCAAGTGTCTTCTCCAGTAAATCACCAGAGAGGATAAACAGTGCTAATAAACTGAAGTAGCTCTTGAAAGTGGTGGGATTACTTCTATTTCAAAAAAGTCTAAAATTTCTGCAGTTTGTCATTTGAACGAGCTGAGCGGAGAGTAATTAGCTCTGCTCAGACAGCAGCCCAAGGGAATCGAAGGGACACCAAAACACTGTGATGAAACCAAATCAGTCATCAAGTCACTGACTCTACAGACACTGAAATCTGCATAACACTGTAACAAGTTAATTAGTTATTACTGATTAATCTTGTATACTAAATAAATAAATAAAAAAAAACACACACCTAAGAATTAAAATTCCAATCAAATGAGATAAAAGCTGGAGTTTCTCTCTCATCAGTTACTGGGTGACATTTTTGTTGAATAAATTATTTGAATTATTATATCAGAATTATTATGGATACATTTCTCCAGCCATGGCAAATTGTTTTAGTAGGACATTTGTCCACCGGCCTTAAACAAAATACTGAGTAACACGATAGCAACCCAACACAAGAAAATGAGGGAGAAACCAGTTGGCTGCAGTGACGTGAGAAATGCACGATTGTAAAGTGAGACGAGGTGTGGAATGCAATCCACCTCTGTCGACAAAAAGGAGCATGTCTGCAGAGCAACTATCAGTTTTCCAGAAATCTTCTGAGTGGCAGTAAATCTGCCCGACACTCTAAAAACTTTTGTTTGTGCAGATTTGTCACTTTAATTTAAAGACATATGTCAAACATGTTTTCGATGTAACACACGATCATGCAGCGGTTCATCTTCAGGGAGTGCCAGCAGACCTGGTAATGTAAGCCAGCATGTGCTATAGCAGGCAGTCTGCTTCAGTGTTCTTACGCAGCAATTACGGGAAAGACAGTCCGTCAGACTGATACTTTATAAAAACTCTCTGTACCCTCTTCACTGTATCTTATAATGATTAATATAAGGATGAGCATATATATATATATATATATATATATATATATATATATATATGTAGTAAGAGGATAATCATATTTTTAAAAAGAAGAAATAATTATTAAAAAAAAATCACATCTGTGACCAACATTATGCTTTTATCCACATTGGATAAACTATTTAGTTCACAGCTTTATTTAACTTTCACCTGATGGGTTCAGTAGCACAAAGAGAAATAGACAAGACTTTTTTTTTTAAAGTGGGTCCAAACAGACTAAAGTGTGAGTTTATTTTTTATTTCTCAGCCGTCTAATCAACATGTAACCTTCATTTTCATGGCAGAACCCCTGGACCTTCTTTGAACTTTATATCGAAACTTTTTTTTTTAAAATGTAAATGTTACTTTTTTCATGTTAAGGTAGAATGAAGGTCCTACTGTATTTTGGCTTTAACACTCCTGAAACTCACTGCGTAGCAGCAGACGTCCAAACAGATTGTGGTCCCTGGCTGTGGTGTTGCAGTTCCAGCGGTGGTTGCGGAACTGGTACTGGCACTCTGAGATCCAGTCCTTCATCCCAGCCCCGATGGCCTGCATCACTTTGGGGTACTGGCGGCACAGCTGGCGCTGCTTATTCACCAGTCCAGGGATGTTGTCGCACATCACCTGGGAGCCCAGGGTGCCCATGTACCTGTAGAGTGGGAGGGTAAATGTCAAGACAGATGAGTACTTGCAGGGATTTTTCTGGATCACTTTAGTAAAGAATAAAATCAAATAATTTTGTATGTAACCCAACGTGTGTAAAGGCAGCTGTGGATATATTAAAGCTTTGTAAGGTAATTGAAGATCTTTACTTTATATTAATGCATAAAATAAGAATGCTAGAGGGTGTATTCTTCAGAGGTATCTGTTGGAATCACTCCTAACAAGTCCACACTCCCTTTTACCTGCAGAACAAGATGATGAAAGACTGATGGGCTGCACTGAAGATTAAAGACACAAAGCAGCAGCAACAAAAAAGGAATTATCTCTCCAAATACCATCTCAGTATCACAGGGTACGAAGTAAGGAATTTGGAAACAGGAGCTTTGCAAATATTAATTAGAGATTCAAGAGAAGGATAGCAAATAAAGAGAAATTAAATTATATCAAATGACTTCAGCCTGGAAACTAATCTGTCCAAATATTCAACAAGCTGCAAAAATAATTATGCAAGCCATGGGGGGAATTTAGTCACTCACTGTGGGAACATTTTTGTTAAGATAAAAGGGTGCATATGGAACTGTTTTTTTAAACTAATAATTTACCGATGACAGAATAAGACAACACATTTGAAAGATTATTATAAAAGCACATAACCCACGTGCACAAAGTCTTACACTAGCGTTCATTTAAACAAATATGTAAATGTTAAATACTTACCACCAGGACGCATCGATCTCAGCTGTGAGCCAGCAGATTGCTACAGATAAATAAAAACATATTCCGCTTGGCAATAAGTGCATATTAACCAAACTCTGTTTCTTTATGGGTCTGGACGGAGCATTTCCACAGATGACAGGAAAAAATTAATAAAACAGAAGCTGAAAGTTGAATCGCCGAGTTAAACTCGCTTTAAAAATGTATTACAAGACAGTCGGAGGACAGACGGTTTGCTCGTAAAAGTCATGGCTGGCTGGGATTCTGCACAGTGGCAAAGCGCTTCTGAAGAAAAGGTTAAGAGCGACTGTCTTAATAGTCCAGAGCAGATTCTCAGGGGAGATACGCGGATGCTGTGCTATCAGGTTCAGATTGCTTTACACAAGGAGTGGGCAGAGTCCCGTCTCAGGAATGAGGTGAAGAAACGAGATGTCTGAGAGTATCTGTTCAGGCTGGTTTGACATCAGACGGGTTTGGCCCGTGTCCAGACCGGAGCTCCGCACCTCTGAGATGTGGTCCAAGTTGATGGGCTCTTCATTCAAATCGCACCGATGAGACGCGCGCAGAGAAGGAGCTAGCTGTGGGAGGATTCACACTTCACGCTTAACCAATGTCAGACACCACAGGAAAAATGCCCAAACCCGCTTAGATTCAAAATCGGGGGACAGGATGATGAATGGAGTTGATGTGCCAGTCCAAAAAAAAAAAAAAAAAAAACAGGCTACAAAAAAAACTTTTACGCACAAAAGATAAACATTGATTTTTAAATGTTTTTCTCACAGGACTCCGTAGAGCTCAACAGAGAAAAACTCTGGCATATGGTGTAGCGGTGTAATTGATAAGCATAAAGACCCTTTAAGAAAATAAATCAAACTAGTGTTTTGTTTATGTTGAGCGCCCATTGCCATAGCCATATCCCACACAGGTGAATAATATCTCAGATTCCTTGCGCATGACGCACTGCTATTTTTACAGCCTTATACAAACTATCACTCTAATAACTCAGGAATGATGGCTTAAAAAAAAAGAGGAAAAAACTGGGCACCGATTCTCCCAGAGCAGCACCTAAAGGTGATGTGTCCATTTCAATTGGATTATCCATGTCAGTCTTTTTGATGTGTCCCGGTGAAGTCTGTACCACTGTCACACAGCGTTTCCTCCATCTTTGATCTAGCCCGGGGTGTATCTGGAGGTCTGGAGACTTTGACCAGATGAGATTAATGGGCAAATTGGATTGTTCCCATGATCCCCGTGGAAGAAACCCATAAAACAACAAGAAGATTTAGAGCGTTCTCACTGCTCTCATCAGGACTTTGAACACAACTTTATTTTTGCAGCAGCGGTAGTTGTAATAAGCCTGTGCTATAAATCCAATTTTATGGGAGTAATTTGTTCACTTCCTTACCAAATCGCATTAAGGTCACAGTTTCATTGCATGTTTTACGGACAGAAAGGTATTTTTGATAATACTTGCGCACAATAAAGTTTGTGAACACTGAAAAGGAAATGGCACAAAATCAGACAATAAGGACTTTGAAGAGTTTGTGATTTTTAAACGTATCAGCTGGACATTTGAAAATATTCAACCAGCAAAAGCTAAATCTGGTCATTAACATCACAGGAATCCACTTGAATCATTTTTGAAATACAGATTGGATTTCTTTCTGCGATTTAGGGAGAAAACTGATATCACTTTCACACCTATGGTTTGTTTGCCAGACTCAGTTTAGCTACCAGCAAGAAGAAAAAGCACTCTGCCCCCTTCTATTGTTAGAAAATTCACCTATGGCTCCTATAAATGTGATGATTTCCTCTTACAAAATAACCTAGTGCAACAAAAAAAACCTCTGATAAACTACTCGGAGAAACTTGGCATTGCATCCTTCTGTATATTTGGGAGAGCAGGCTTCACATTTCCACATGCCTCTAGGTTTTCTTATAGACTGTATATTACAAAGGATCAAGCAGTCGGTCTAAGGACAGCGACTTTGCAAAGCCTTACACCTGTAGTCTTTAAGATGATCAGCAGGGTGCAAAAAGAAGCCCTGTGAAAAAAATGAGCCCACTACCCCAAAAACTTGTAACTTCAACAAACACTTTCCTGATGAATTTATGGTCTCAGTCTGTCACTTTAAGTTTATTGTCACTTTTAGTTGAAAATGGAAAACAAATAGACATGCATGTCACCACAAGTTGAAAGTGCAGTGTCCTTGGTTTCCCAATCAGATACACCACTTGCTTGTCTTTAGTTTCAAAACACTGATGGTTATGGCCAAGACTCTATACTCAACATCTGGCAGGCACCAATATAGAAAGCATCCCGATTTCAACCTTAAATCGAGCATACAAGAAACGTACTCTCAGAAGAAAAACTTTAATTGTTCAAACCATTAAAATATAAAATAACTTTAAAAGAATAAGAATTAAACTCAGTGACAAGTCAAAACAAACTGGGGAAAAAAACACTGCAGCAAAATTAAAACTGAATGCCTGTCAAACACCCATAACACATATAAACACAATACTTATCCAACTTTTTAGCTACAGTCAACAAACACAAAAGACCTCACAAATCTGTGAGGCGATCAAAAAGTATCCCCGCACTGTAGGGAAACCTTGCCACTGGAAGCTTTGTAGAGCAGTACGAGGAAGGTGACTCCGAGAGTGCTCAGAGCAAATCTGGTGGTCAGAGACCACATCCTCCTGTTGTTATGGAAACCAGGCTGAGGAGGCTGACAGGAATCTTTGAATTCTTCCATCTAAAGAGAGGACAACAAAGTCAGATTAACATGGGACACACACATAAATACGAATGTAAACATAAAAACACACATCAGGCCCTGAGGTAAGGCCAATCTGAACTAATGCAGGAAGTACAAGGGTCACAGGTCAGTTTAATCTAATCCAGTCCGGATTATAGCAGTTGCACTAGTCAGACCAGTGGAAGGCTTGAATGGGTGGGAAACAGCTGCTCAGTCACTGTTGGGTGGGAATCAAATTGAGACCAGCTCGATGTGAGAGTGAGAGCATGTCTGGTCCCATCTCACCACCACAGCATGACTCAGACCTGAGTCACCAAAACTTCCTGTGCCAAATCCTCAGGGATTCATCAGTTAAAGTCAAGTCACAGAGGAATTATGCTGCCTCTGATTTTTCAAGCTACAGGGTGACACTGTCACACTAAATCCCAGTCATGTGAGAAGGTTGGAGGATACAAAGGGCTTAAATTCTGTTTAATACCAGAAATTATGACTTAGGAACCTGTGGTTTGACCAAGAAGGAAATGCTTCTGGTAAGTGACGGAGGATGGTATTCTAACAGGAGGTATATGCCGTTTTTTCCACTCATTTACATCATAATTACTTTTCTTTAAACAGAGGAGCACAGTCTGTTTGTGGTAATGTTACAACACTAAAGTTTATGTTATGGTAATTTTAATTTTTGTACTTTTTAAAAAATACAGTTTGATAAATGATTTTAAACTATCACGATTAACACGATTTTCAGAAAAAATGACCTCTGAATGCTGTCCAAGTTCTGCTAGAGGTGGGAATTAAAGATCTCATGGACCAGGGCCTTTACCGGACACGCCCAATGCACACTCACTGTCCAACATCCTCTTCTGCCACCTGACCTCCTCTCTTCTCCTGAGTTTCCAGAACGTACAGCTACAGATCTGATGATAAATTTTCAAAACTGACCGTCAACCTGCGGTCGAGTGTCCTGTTGCTATGTGCACTTTTAAATATATGTATGTTTTAAATGGTGTTTGCACACAAGTCCAATAACAAAAACCGCTTGGGTTCAGATCAGGCACTGTTCTCCCAAGTCACGTTCCTCCAAGTCACACTTGGATGAGTCCAGCCCCTCTCCAGGAGACTGGTTACAGACCCCAACTGTGCACTAAGCTTAGCCCATCTGTAGCCAGTATTTCTCAATCTCACAAACTAGCTCAGGCTTTTATGTCCCCTCTCTGATGGCAAGGCCCCTACAGTACTTCTGTAACCCCTATGGTACCAACCCCTAGGCTTCTTCCTGTGAGTGGTGTGCTCACATTCGCCAGCCCATGTCTCCTCTTTGGCTGCATCCACCAGGGCCCACGGGCTAAGGCTCAGCCAACAGGGTGAGTGGCCCAAGGAATCTTATGCAGTGTCTTTGTGATCATGTATTTTACATGTGGCATAAAGTCTAGTGTAGTATGTTCTGGTGTAACATTTGATAACAAACAAAAAACAAATTTCAAATTACTTTTGTTGTATTTCAAAAAGCCCAACTCATCAGTTTCTCTGCTATGATCAAACTTTCCATCACTATGAGATTTGGCACCCAGAAATATTTTTTTAAAATGTAGCTTCATACCTCTTTTCAGTTCAGTAGTTTCCTAAAGGTTCCACGCACATGTTTCTCTGTTGCTATGTGTTTTAAACAGCAAGATACACAGGCCTCTCTTTTCTCACCATAAAAGCATACACCTCCCTCTACCTTCAGCATCAACGTTATATTTCTGCTACCAAATACAGTGTAGCTGTGCCTGTCTAGTTTAGCATGTACACTGAATCATGTCGCTCTGAAGACCACAACTAAATTACAGGGTCCCAAATATAATAAGACTCTAAACTGATATACAGGCAACGTGCAAATGGCTGGAGTTTGACATGAGTGTACTTAACTTCACAGGCCTCAAGGTCTGAATTGCAACACAATGCTTCTAGGTGCAAAATAAATTGTCGAGAAATGAAGCCTTCCTCCTGCCACTGTAAAACTTGCTAAAGCTTTTAAGTGGGGTATACTGGCACCTTTTAGTAAGCCAGTTCTGCACCTACTACTATCCCACCTCCTTTTCTTACAACATGCCCACACCTCTACAGTGTGCTCTTTTCTCCCTTTTTAAACTCCCTCACCCCGCCAACCCGAATCCTTTCCTTGCTTCCCTCTGCCCCCACCCTTGCCTTCCCTCCACCTCATCGTCTGCATGCTGACAGGTCGATGTCACAGCAGCTCTGACTTATGGGCTGTGAGGATTCTGCTCTGTCAGGAACAACTCTCTCCTCTTGGAATACAAATGCAAACACGCACACACACGCACACACATGCACATAGAGTCAGGTGCACATATGTAAACACTCCTGCACATACCTGTTCGAGCTCGCCAGAATACATATAACACAACATGTAACTATGGCTTTTCCAAGCTGCTTTTAATCCTCAGTAGTGCAAAGAGTAACAGTGAGCACTGTATGAAAGCAATTTAAATTGACTTGGATGTGCTTTCAGTATTAGTGTCAGGTCTGACAGATTTTACTCTTATTCATACTTTTATCTTGTTACCAGTGCATTGACACATTTTGTATTTACTGTTACAATCAACTACAAATGTCGTTTTATTGTACTTACATAGCACCAAACCACAACAACAGCCACTTTGTATTGTAATATATTGTAGTACTCCACAATAATACAACCATATAATACAACAATTTATTTCTCCAATGTTGTTATAGCTGTGTGGAGGCCAAAATTACCACTGCCTCAAAAACAAATATACTGTGTATAGATTTTTA